AAGAAAGTAGGAAAGAACTTTTACTTAGGAAAAAAAAATGTGATAAGGAGGGTTAAGAGATAACAAAATAGAGCCACAATGCATGAATCAAACAATAAACATTTAGGGGTGCCTGGGTGGCTCAGATGGTTAAGCGTCCAAGATACAGTCAGATGGTTAAGCATCTAGATACTCCAATAGAACAGATTTCTTTCCATTTTGTGAATGAGGACTGAAATTACAGTTTTCTTAAAATGTCAATTTTTCAGAAAAAAAATACCTAAACTTAACAGTATTTCGTCAGTACAATAAGGTACAAAATTATAAGTTTTTTCATTAATTTCATTTATTGGAAAATACTTTAACCATCAGGAACTTTTAAATATGCTCTAAGTATTTCTTTCATGGATTCATTTTTAAGAATAAAACTAAAGAGGAGTGCCTGGGTGGCTCAGTCGGTTAAGCATCCGACTCTTGATTTTTAGCTCATGTAATGATCTCCTACTTCTTGACATCAAGCCTGAGTTGGGCTGTGCACTGACAGTGAGGAGCCTGCTTGAGTTTCTCTCTTTCTCCCTCTCTTTGTCCCTCCCTCACTCACTCTCATGCTCTCTCTCTCCCCCTCAAAATAAACAAGACTTAAAAAAAAAAAGAAAGAATCAAACTAAAGAAAGCAAAAATACAACTGCAAAAATCTCTTATATCCCTGCATTCTTTTCAAGTTAAAAAAAAAAAAAAAAGCTGAGAGTCCCCTTATGATATTTATTGAATTATCAAGTCAACAGCAATTTTGCTTGAAAAGAAGTTACAGATAGAAAGGGAGCAAATGAAGTGAAAGGGAAGAAAAAGAAGGCCATGTTCTTTAAACAAAGTAAAGTAATAAGGTTGGATATTGATACAAGTTAACAGTGGTGTTACTTTTCTTACCCATCATTTTGAATCTTTTGAAATTCTTAACTAAAAACACACAGAAAAGAATTATGCTTTATTCTTAACAGTCAACATAAGAATTGCTTACCTTGCAGATTATAAGCTGCCAGCTGAACTGCTGTATCAAAGGGACACTCTAATCTGAGACCGAAACACAAATTTGTTAGACAAGTCAACTTCCCAAGGTTCATTTTAAGATAAATGCAAATAATACCTACTTTATGTTGACCATTCTTTTTTCATAATTATGAACTTATTTTTCAAAATCATTTTCAACTACTTAATAAAATGTGGTTTACCTTAAATAATACTCACTTTCCACTGAGAATATCTTGTTTTAACTGAAGAACAAATAAATACCTAAGAAAAATAAAAGGCACAAATTTAACTAAACAGAATAATCTACTATGAAAAATAATCCTACCCTTCTAATGTGAGAAGAAACATTTTTAATTACAGAATTTTACCTGCAATAGAATCTATAAAAGAAAAAAAATATGAAAAAAAATTGGGGCCAATAAGCCATCAGGAGGATGGCAGCATGTCCATAAGATAACTGAGTACAGTACAACCACCTTAAGATTAAAGGTTTTAAGCAAATTATGGAGAATGAGCTCTGTGATCTAAGTTTACATTACTCTCACAACACAAACCACTTGGATGTGAAAGGACACAGGCATATATGTAACTATGGAGATTAGCTATAATCTCGCTGGTAGAGGGTGCAAGACAAGAAAACCCTTCTAAAGGGACTCAGCAATTTAATTTTTACTTAATAAATAGTATGTGTGAATGAATCATGCATTTACCATGTATAATCAATCAATAAATATGAAGGAGGCAGGACAAAATACAAATAATTGTATATAACCTGCTTAAAGTTTGTTTAAAACTATTCAAACCAGGGGCGCCTGGGTGGCGCAGTCGGTTAAGCGTCCGAATTCAGCCAGGTCACGATCTCGCAGTCCGTGAGTTCGAGCCCCGCGTCGGGCTCTGGGCTGATGGCTCAGAGCCTGGAGCCTGTTTCCGATTCTGTGTCTCCCTCTCTCTCTGCCCCTCCCCCATTCATGCTCTGTCTCTCTCTGTCCCAAAAATAAATAAACGTTGAAAAAAAATTTTTTTTTAAAAAAAACTATTCAAACCAAATCAGGATTTATTATTTTTCATCAGTCAGCGAGCGGTATTTCAATAGGTAAAGAATATTAGGAGCCAACATGAATAAACTCCCAGTGGCCGAAGAGAGATCATTTTGAACACCAACAAACATAACATGAATAAATATAATATGGCAACATATTCAAACACAGCAATCTTGTTTAAAATCCATGAGTTGAGGGGCACCTGTGTGGCTCTGTCAGCCAAGCTTCTGACTTCAGCTCAGGTCATGATTAGTGAATTCAAGACTCGCATCGGGCTCACTGCTGTCGGCATGGAGCCTGCTTCAAATCCTCTGTCCCTCTCTCTTTGCCCTTCCCCTGCTCACACTCACTCCCCAAACTAAACATACATACATACATAAATAAGTAAAATCCGTGAGTTGATGATAATTTAAAAAAGGAACTCAGTAGTTACCTTAAAGAATGCGAGGGAACCAACTCTTTATTTTGAAAACTGATAAAGGGAAAAATTCTACACTTAAAAACACTGTCCCAAAATGAAATTCTATTGTCTAACAGGTCTTATTACCAGGGATAAGAGATCCATTTCATTAGTGGTCTATAAACTGTAAAGAATTATAAAGACAATCTTCCAACACCTTTAGCTAGCTGACCAAAACTACTTTACCCCTGTACAACTCTAGAGAGTAGTCTTACCGGGTTAGCTCTTCACGAAGATTATTTGGTTCTGAGGAATAAAACTTAACTCGAAGATGCAGACAATAGGGTGAACCAACTGTTAAAAAAAAAAAACAAAAAAACACTTTAATTTTTTTTTAATATAACTATTCAAACTGTAGGAATTTTCCAGTCAGTAAATTTGTCAAAAATGATCTACTTGAAGTAGGGAGAAAAGGTAACAGGCTTTGTGGTAATATTTCACACATCGAAATACTGTATGGCTTCATTAAAGCCTTTAAATTAAAGGTTTTAAGTACACCTAACACAAAAAGATCAATCAGTAGGTTTTTTAAAATGTACCAACCATCATATAGTACCACTACAATTAGCTGTCCTCCCAAAAATAGATAGCTCTAGATTGATTCTAACAGTTTAGGGACAAATGCATCAAATAAAAGTCTTGACTGTGCAATCTAACAGCCCTAAAAAACCTGCCACACTGTATTTCTTAAAAGACTAAGGAATGCCTGGGTTATTAACCGCTCACTGCAAATTCCCCCCACACTTTCAATTCACTTCACCTAATTCACTAACTTATACATTCTCAGAGGTCCCATTATTTTGTAAAGACAAAAAAGTTGAGGCGCTCTGAAATCTCTACTACCACAAAGAACAAGCTGGATTACGAGTGAACACTGGTATTTTTCCCTATTACTAGGAATAAAACTGACACTTTATGTCAATTGTTTCATTTCATTATTTTTAAATTTTAAAAGTTACAGCTTTAAAGTCTCAAAACATTTTACAGAGCAGGACAGATGCCAAGCAGGAAAATTCCAACACAATTACTAAATAAGAGTTAAGCATCGCATGAGAACTCAATCTCCTTGCAAGATGCAAGCCTTTCTCCAGGAAATAAACTATAAAGCACTTGAATCTAGATTACTATTAACCCTCTAGAACTAAGGGGGTAGGTCAGTATATCAAATTGAAATTATCTTTAAAGTAGAGATGCTAAGAAATTCATCTGAAACATGATTTATTAGGAATCAGAGCTTCTAATATATAATTTACTTTTTGTTCACAATTTTTTCAACACTTACTTTTTACTTGCTTTTTGATGCTCTTTGTACCATCTAACCAGTGCTGAAAATAAAAAACAAAAATCAGATGTTATGCAGATGATAGAACTCAACATTTTCATTATTAAAAGTTAATTTTCATCATGTTTTTGTTGATAACCAGAAAGAAATATGAAAAACAAAAGTGAGGATGAAAATGGGGGGAGGATTATCTGTCCCAACATCTACAGCAAGCTTATGACACACAAGCAAAAAAAGACCTAAGACCAGATATGCTACTTCTTAAAACATTTCCTCTCCTCTCTCACAGTAACAAGGATGATATTTTAAATTCTGCCCTTAGTTTTCCTGTTTCCAAAAAAAATGACTCTTTCAAAATTGTTAAAATGAGAAGAAAAGTATCCTCATACTCCAGTGTCTGGTTCATTCTTGTAATAAAAACGTAATATTTATTAACAGATCACAACCAAAAGTGGGAGGAAATAACAGTGTCATTTAAATTTTACGAAACAGATACTACTCAGAAGTAGTACTCTTTGAAAGAGCCTGCAAAATAAAATTAGATCTTTCTCATAACTAACCCCACCTATTAAATGAAGTAGTCTTTTTTGTTCCTTTGCTTTATAAATAAAAAATGTTAAAACTGTGACTAGCAGACTTCTGGTTTCAAAAGTAATAGGCTTTTGATTTCTGTAACCTCCCCACTCTGAAATGCCCGTAACACAAACAGACTTAAGAAGCAATTCCAGAGGCTTCCACACATAAACCAGTCCCAGCTCACTTCTCACTATTAATCCCTTTACACCACCATGTCCTAACAGTGACGGGATGCACTCATCCAACTAAGATATACAAGCCTGTGTTCTCTCCAACATGCTTACAATTCCAAGCACCCAAAAAACGAAAGGAGTGCTCTTGTACTAACTAGTTCACAGAGCTAAGGAATCCAGTTTCAGAAACCCAGACAGGCAAAGTGGGTAAACAAGGCTGCATTGTTAACAGCCTTGTAACCGTTTGCTTTTCTTGCCAATTATTTGCCTAGCCTCTTCTCTCCATTCTCCCCCAAGATCCAAAAGTGAAATTCACAAAGCTACCAGTGGGTGAGCAAAGTACCTCTGCACATTGAAATAAGATGTTCAGTAAACAGTTCAAAAGGCAATTAAGTCCTGTGCAATATTTTCTCTAGATTCCAAGTGTGTATGCTACTTAGACAGCCATCTCTCATCCTTCCTTTAAGATTTTATTTTTTAAGTACTCTCTACACCCAATGTGGTGCTCGAACTCACAACCTGGAGCCGAGATCAAGAGTTGCATGTTCTACCTATTGAGCCAGCCAAGTACCCAGCCATCTTTCATCTTTTACTGAATTCAGGTGGATATTCATTTTAAGCATATTTCAATGTAGCAACTCTTCAGTTTTATACATCCCTCCAAGTGAATCCTAGGCCGGCCAGTAGACAGAACACAATTCAATCTTTCAGCAGAAAAGACTTCAACCTAGGGGCGCCTGGGTGGCGCAGTCGGTTGAGCGTCCGACTTCAGCCAGGTCACGATCTCACGGTCCGTGAGTTCGAGCCCCGCGTCAGGCTCTGGGCTGATGGCTCGGAGCCTGGAGCCTGTTTCCGATTCTGTGTCTCCCTCTCTCTCTGCCCCTTCCCCGTTCATGCTCTGTCTCTCTCTGTCCCATAAATAAATAAAAACGTTGAAAAAAAAAATTAAAAAAAAAAAAAAAGAAAAGACTTCAACCTAGTATAGCAAAAAAGTCCATCCATCATGGCCAATGTCAGCAACTCAATATCCAGTAATCTGAAACTTAATTATGCTAATACCTACTAGAGCCTGATGCCAATGACATACTGGGTAAAAGATAAAATTAGTTTTTATACCCCAGACTGTCTTCTTCCCACAACATGAATCTGGGAGTTGCCTTATCTTCAGGTTTTATCTACTCTACTGCAATGAATTAACAGGTAGTCTGGCTGGTCACCTGGGTTGTCTTATGTGCCTATGGTTAGGGAGACTCCTACACCGTGAGCGTAAATAAGCACAACTCTTCCAGGAGGCAATTTAACAATGCTTTAAAAATAATTGTCTTTGGGGGCGCCTGGGTGGCGCAGTCGGTTAAGCGTCCGACTTCAGCCAGGTCACGATCTCGCGGTCCGCGAGTTCAAGCCCAGCGTCAGGCTCTGGGCTGATGGCTCAGAGCCTGGAGCCTGTTTCCGATTCTGTGTCTCCCTCTCTCTCTGCCCCTCCCCCATTCATGCTCTGTCTCTCTCTGTCCCCTCTCTGCCCCTCCCCCATTCATGCTCTGTCTCTCTCTGTCCCAAAAATAAATAAACGTTGAAAAAAAAATTAAAAAAAATAATAATAATTGTCTTTGACCCAACAATTCCATACCTAGAAATAATGATGGATGTGTGCAGATTTATTTATAAGCAATTATATGAGAAAGTTAAGACAATATATATATTCAACAACAGTGAACTGGTTAAAGTATTTCAGTATGATACAACATGATGCAGCCATTAAAAACAAGGAAAGCAGGGGCGCCTGGGTGGCTTGGTCGGTTAAGCATCCGACTTCGGCTCAGGTCATGATCTCACGGTCCATGAGTTTGAGCCCCGGTCGGGCTCTATGCTGACGGCTCAGAGCCTGGAGTCTGTTTCAGATTCTGTGTCTCCCTCTCTCTCTGCCCCTCCCCTGTTCATGCTGTCTCAAAAATAAATGTTAAAAAAAATTTTTTTTTAAAAAAAAGGAAAGCAAATACTTAAGGATCTGGAAAATTACTTACAATATACTGCTGAGTTTTAAAAGGTAGGTTACACCTTTTAAAGGTGTAGGATAGACACAAGTGTTTTATCAAAATGTACAAGTTTGTATATAAAAACATGCACTTTTCTTTTGGACTGAGATAATCTAAAACAAAACAGTAAAAATGTTATCTCTAAGTGACAGATACTGCTGGTGATAGTTTTTCTTTTTTATGCTTTCCTCTATTTTAAACTTATTCTACAATGAGCACATACTACTTAAAACTCTCATGGACCCCTTATTTTAATATTTTATATAAGTAATATATTTATTTATATGGCTTAATTTTGGGGTAGTATTAATAGGCATATGGTCCATAGTCCCTCCACCTCCTACAATAGCCCATCAGCCCATATACCCAATTTCTATCACCACATACACTGCCCCTGCCCACAACAAGATGTTATTGGTTTCTGACCCCATCCAGAGTTTCTTCAAAGAGGGAAGGAGGGGGAAAAGGGGGAAAAACAAAAAAAAAAACAAAAAAAAAAACTGTTTATGTGTGTTGGTTAAAAAAAAAAAAAAGACAGAACATTAACAATGGACTGAAAACCAACAGACTATCAATTTTGACAGGATGAACTTTGAAAAGTAAAAGAAAGAAACACTAATGTAAGATAGACCATGTGGTATTTCAAGATCAATCTACAGTCTTTCTTTCTTAGATCATTATAACTTAAATTTCTTCCTGTTTAAGAACATCTAGGGCTAGTCTCAAAAATTCACCTTTAATCTTTAATTTGTACCCTACTATTCTAAGAAGCACGTTAAATATAAAATCATCCCAGTGAGATTAAGGATCAGAGTTTTCTTCCAAGCAGATATTTTAGTCCCTTCTTTACCTACATATGTCTGCTCTCTCTTAGGATGACCCAGACTCAGATAATGCATCAAGCACATTTTAAAGTGAAATTTAGGAGCTGGGGAGTTCTGGGTGACGTTATTCGGGGGAAGGTCCGAGTTCATGCTTGCATATTCTCAAGTCTGTTTTCTTTCATCTCCTCCACATTCCAAGCCCAGGGACTGGAAAATTCAGAGCTCAGAGATAGGCACTGAAAGGATTTTCCTTCAATCAGGGTCTTTAGGAGCTGAGTTTAAATTACATTAGATGATAAAGGTGAGAGCATAAAGATATAGATTCTTGGATGCTTAGTGTGAAACTAAATAGAGTTCTCTTTCCCCATCATACCTTACAAAGCAAACAAACTCCCTCCTAATTTCCTAATTTTAAAGTTTGGTTGATAAACGTAGACATCAAAGGATATGAGAAGCCACATTCCTTTCCGTCCTACTGAACTGGGCATGAAAGAAAAATTATCTACTTATGTATACCTTAAAACATAAATAATATTTAATCACAAACACAAAAGACATAACCAAATCAAACGAAGAATCACCTAGGGAGCTTCCAAAACACTAACATGTACACACCCTCATCCCAGCCCTTCAGCCAAACAGTCTGTAAAAAGCTTTTCAAATAAGTGATTCCTGACTTCTAACCACCTACACAGCTCTATTAAAGAAACGCCCTACGGGGGCGCCTGGGTGGCGCAGTCGGTTAAGCGTCCGACTTCAACCAGGTCACGATCTCACGGTCCGTGAGTTCGAGCCCCGCGTCGGGCTCTGGGCTGATGGCTCAGAGCCTGGAGCCTGTTTCTGATTCTGTGTCTCCCTCTTTCTCTGCCCCTCCCCCGTTCATGCTCTGTCTCTCTCTGTCCCAAAAATAAATAAACGTTGAAAAAAAAAATTAAAAAAAAAAAAAAAAAAGAGAAACGCCCTACTACTTTTGCTCAAAGAGCAAAGAGTTGAAAACAGAGATGTGTTAACCATCTTTCAAAACAACTACATCTGCAGAAAATATTTCTCCTCTCAGGAGTAGAGGCCTATGCTCTGAATTAAAGGGTTGTTTTAAAGGAAATTTTAACATTTTTAGGTAGTATTGGCATTTTAACAATATTTGTTCTTCCAATCCATGAGCATGCAATGTTTTTCCATTTCTTTGTGTCTTCTTCAATTTCCTTCATAAGTTTTCTATAGTTTTCAGCATACAGATCTTTTACATCTTTGAAAACTTTAACATTGTAAACAACAAAAAGTTTAAAAACTATGCTATAAAAATGGAGAACCAATACACTGCACTGCTGTAATCTAACTGAAAACACTTCAATTTAATCTATATTCATTGTAACACATTTCAAATGAAGACTTAGATGAGGCATTAAAATAGACTTCCCACTGTATCTGTGTATTATTAGTATGCTCTTTTAAAATTCTTAAAAGTAAACTCATAGTGGGAATATAAGTTGAGTGAGGCAGGTTTTATATTTACTCTCCAGGGACAGAGTACATAATCTATTTTGGAAACACACTTTTTACTGTTCCTCCTTATTTAACAAATACAAGGGTATCTATGTGCATGTTACAATATACATATATTTAACATATATGCTACTTATTTCTATATATTTTTCACTCCCCACTACTTTATTGGATCCTATTGTTTGTGTTAAGTTCTCAGTTGATATCCAACCCAATCATCTGCCAACAGTGTTAGTTTTACCTCCTCCTCTCCAGCCTTTACAACGTCTGTAACTATAATTGCTGGCACTTCTATTATGAAATTAAATAGCACTGGCAATAATATGCAAATTAACATCATGTGTTTAAAAGAAATGTTTCTATCATTCCTCTACTAATCTAGAGTTGTTGTTGTTGTTATTGTTGCCAATGTAAATAATCAAATATCTGCAAAGAAAGAGAGCAGAACTGGGGCCCCTAGATGGCTCAGTTAAGCATCTGACTCTCAGTTTCAGGTCAGGCCATGATCTCACAGTTTTGTGAATTCGAGCCCTGCATCAGGCTCTGTGCTGACAATGCAGAGCCTGCTTGGGATTCTCTCTCTCCCTCTCTCTCTGTCCCTCCCCTGCTCAAGCTGTCTCTATCTCTCTCAAAATAAACAAACTTTAAAAAATTAAAAAAAAAAAAAAAAAAAAAGCAGAGCCACTGAGTAATCACCAGGTCTGTTTTCTATAGATGCTGCCTATGCAGGTTGTAACACACATCCACTAAACACCTAGAAATGGAAAAATGTACACCTTCTAGAGCTTGGATGGAGCTACACAGATAGACAGAAGGTCAATTCTATACAGGCCAAAGTCCATTGGGTTTATTCAAGGTATTATGGGGCTACGAAGAAGGGGCTTAACAGGCCACCAAAAAAACCACTTGATAAGAATTCTAGACCTATTATCTGCACAACCTCAGATAAGTGAGGGTCAGCAAGACAAACAAATCTCACACACTGTGCCCACAGTACCTGAAAGCTGAATTCTAAAACTAGAATAAGAATTGCCTCTTCCCTTAACTCAGTGATCTTGGATTTGCTATCAAGGTAATTGACTGTTGCAGCCTCCAGGTGTGCACCTGTAAAACATTTACTCTATGTTCCACTAGACAATTATGCATTTTCTAGCCTTCAGCTTTGGATCTAACATCTCCATTTCCATTCAGTGTTGTCTTTAAATGCCATACACTTCAACTAATCAAGTTACTTTATTTTCTTTGTGGTAAAGATTTCAGTTTCAATCTTTTTTTGAATGTATATTTAAGCATACATTTAAGTATATGATGAAGCAATAACAGCATAAATGGTTAGTGAAACTGTTCAGAATTGGCAAACATCACATCAACTCAGACTCCACTGCCAAAGGCAAATCACATAGCCAAGCCTGATATCAAGTGAGCAAGAAAGGATAATCCTGTGAAAACAAAGGCAGGAGACAATGCATGAAAAAACATATATGACAAATTGTATCAACTGATAATGAATCGTCCTTGCATTTCTGAAAATTAAACTCCACCTGATCATAATGTATTAATTACACTTTTAATAGACTGCTGAATACTGTGTGCTGATAATTAAAGAGTTTTACACAGAGAATAAGGGAAGTTTAAACGATATACATAGAACCAATACAAGCTATCAAATCAGTATTTTTAAAAAGCAAAAAAATAATTACTACTGACTTGTTAAAGTTCTTTTTCCTTCTTTTCCAAGTAAAGGAGAAATGCTACCTTTGTTTCTCTTTTCTGAAACATGACAGAGTTGTCTACAATCTAGGTAACTAGTTCTTCTTTAAAAACTTGATGGACCAGGGGCGCCTTGGGTGGCGCAGTCAGTTAAGCGTCCGACTTCAGCCAGGTCACGATC